TGTGCCTAGAGTTCTGTACATATCTTTGTATCCATGCGACCACTCGGACAATCTTCGAGTGGGAACTGTACCGCTGCAAAGGCAAGACCTGTTCTTTCTCCACTTTTATGTTGTGAACACGAACTGGTCTCTTCTCTTCATCTGCTACAGTCATATTAACAGTCACTTCATGCGTCGGCCATCAAGTACGTGGCTCTGTAAGCCATGGTGGCCCATTCCATCAAACCGCGCTCGACTCGAGTGTTTCAGGTGTTACGCCTCTCGTTAGCAGGTCAGTGGAATTCTCCGGTCCAGGGCAATGGTTCCAAAGTTCTAGATACGTTAGCTGTTGAATGTTTAACACTCGGTTGGCCACAAACGGCTTCCACTGTTGAGCAGAACCTCGTACCCGATGCAGCGCGATCGTTGAATTTGTCCAGAGGTACCAGTTGTTTGCTTGCAAGTTCCTCGAGCAGTTAGGTAGTCCTTCAGTCGTGCCCCTATCAGCATTCTAATCAAATCGAGTCTTGGAAGAGAAGGCTTTTTCATCGGTGCCGTTCCTGTCTTTGACAACATCAAAGTAACCGTCGCTTCTGCACCCTGAGTGCGCAGGTAGGTCAATGCTCCATAAGCCTTGGGACTGGCATCTGTGAAGAGGTGAACATCGTTTGGGTGATCGTTTGGTAGCCCAAGGTACCCTCGGAGTACTGTCACCTCCGCTAAGTGGTGCAGTGCTGTGTGCTACTCCGTCCACCTTGCCTGAACATCTTCAGGTAGTGGTGCATCAAAATCGACTCCCAATTCCCAGAGGCTCTGGAACATCAGTTTGGCTGCCACGGTTACTGGGGAAAGGACTCCAAGTGGGTCGTAAATGCGAGATGGTATCTGAAGAATAAATCGTTTCGTGATGCTGTTTCGGACAAAGAATTCTAAGACGCTAGCTGTGGGACATTCTACTTGGTTTAGAATACATCCCCTTCCTTCATCGTCGAACAGCTTCTGCAACTTGTTGGAATTTGAATTCCACTTGCGCATTGTCATCCCCGCTAGTTTCATGACGTGTAATGTTTGATGATAGAATTGTTCCGCCTCCTCCCCAGAGGTTGCTCCGGTGATAAGATCGTCAACGTAGAGGCTTTTGGCCAGCGCTTTCGTTGCTTCCGGATAGTCGTCTGTTGTCGACAAGGGGTAGCGTAGTGTGGCCGCGAGGAGGAATGGGCTGCTTGTCGCTCAAAAAGGCCTTCTTGTAATTCTCCATACCTCCATAGGAGGATTTGGCTCTTGTTTTGTTGGCATTCGCTCGTACTAGAAGAATTGTAGAGCGTCACGATCTTCCTGTCTCAATGAGAGCTGCAGAAATATCTTTTCAATATCCGCGCTGAAACCGACGCAATGAATCCGAAAGTTCAGCATCACTTTCAGGAGGTCCAGATTCAGGTTTGGTCCCGACATCAGTGACTTATTCAGTGCGAGGTATCCTGCTTCGTTTGATGACACATCAAACACGACTCTGACTTTAGTCGAGAGGCTGTCGTGTCGTAGTATAGCACGGTAAGGCATATAGTTTATTCGGCTCATTGTCTTGTGTGAATTCGGTGAAATCTTTTCTGCAAACCCTTGCTAGAAATACTGGAGGATGGGCCTGTCATACTTAATCAGCCTCACAACGGCTTTGAGCAGCTTCTTTGTTATGCTGGTTAAACGCTTTCTTACAACTACTTAATTGTCGGCCAGCTGAATGTTCATTGGCTTTTAAGGTTGGGCTACCTTATATCGCACGTCAGCAAGATTGACGGATGATGTAGATGCACGGACAAGTTCTTTATCCTCTCCTTTTTGTGGGAGGTTAGGCGCGTGATACCTATGCTTTCCAGCTCCCGAAACAACGTAAGCTCGGTAGACAACGAGCACGTGCTTTCACCCACGTTTGCTCGAAGTACTGCAACAGTAGAATATGAGGCAATCGAACCGCTGTGAGGAACTGTTCCTTGAACTGTCCACCCAAAGTCTGTTGTGACGGTAACCAGGGCACCTTGTAGTTTCTTAACCTTACCAGAGACGAGGGCCTAGTAACAGTCTGCACCGATGAGAATATAAAGGCCACTTCTTGTTAGTTGTGCCGGTGGCAAGGTGACGTCTGCCAACTCGGTTTTTCTTGCCTTTACTTCTTGCACAACAATTTTGGGCAGAAGAAGGCGATCAGAGCAAATCTATGGTATTTCCACGGCTTCTAGACAATGCTCCTTTCGGCGATTCAGGTCCAGACTCGTACTCGTCGCCGTTCTTCCTCGATGACGTTTCCTGCCCCTCCAAATGGGTGGATTGTTATGCCCTCTTCACCAATAACATCGAGGTGCAGTTTATGTGAGAGTTACGTCGTCACAAAGGTTCGCTGGCTTACCCCGTCAAAAAGGATGCGTGCGAGAGTTCTTTTCTGTCTCCCCTCTGCCGACACCTGAGCTGTGTGGAGTAGCACAGTATGTGTTTTGTCGCTCTTCTTGACAGTCACGGAGTGTAACTCGGTTGCGGTGCTTTTCCTTTGTTTCCAGGATGGGTCACACATTTGAGTGCTATGCGTCCTGCCGCATGTTTTACACTTGATTCGTTTGTTTCCTTTTTTTTTTTCTTCGAAAGAAAGATATGTCTGGCAATATTGTGGGACGTGGTTCTTTGCAGCACATAATGCACAAGGTTCAGTGTGCTTGGAGCGGCTTATAGAGGAAAGAGAAACTGCTGATCCCTTGGGCGACCAAGCCTTTCCGTTTTCTTTTTTGTGTTGAGGTTTTTCACGGCTCTCCACTTTTAGCTTTAGGATACGCCGCAAACTTTCTATTTTTAGACCGTCATCTGCCCTGCCCGTAGTATGCTGACGTTTGTCATAGTCAACCACAAGCTTTCTAGGCAGCATTTAGAGCAGAGCAGAACAGAGCATGGCTCCGTAGCTGTTACTCTTCACCCTGAGCGTAGTAAGAGAGGCGAAATTGCGTTGCAGGTGGCCATGTAGAGCCGTCGTAGGCCCTTCACGTCCATTGAGCGTCTTACACCTGGCAAGTCAAGCGGTACGGAGTAATTTCTTGGATCAGGACGTCGGGCCGACTGAAGCGCTCCCTGAGCAGCTCAATTACTGTATTGTAATTTCCTCCCGTCGCTTGAATGCCGGCTATCGCTGAAGCTGCCTTTTCCGTAAGCGCCGACCACAGGTACAGAAACCTCTCACCGTTAGATAGCGCGCCATTCTCATAAATAGCTTGTCGGTATTGTTCCCAAAAGGGTTGCCAGTCAGGTGCTGCACCGCCGAATCGCTGAAGTTCAAATTTTGGAAGTTTCACCCAAGAGGTTTCAACGTTTACTTTGCCGTTGTGATGAATCCGAGCTGAACCAGCTTGGGCTCTCGTACGTTGGAGCTCCTCCACTTCTTGACGGATCGTGGTGATGTACATCATAAACTTGTCATTGTACTTGATGATGCGAGCGTAGTTTTGCTCGACGTCTCTGTCAGGTATTAGCGGTGCGACGGCTGCGTCAGCGTTGTTCAGCTTTATTCGAACGTCGCTAAGCCTAGCAGACACTACGTTGAGGCTTCGCTCGTCCGCGTGGTTTGCGATAGCTGATGTCGGAGGGCAGCCTCATCACCTGAGACCTCAGAGCCGTCCTTTTTTACTTCAGTCGTTTCATGGTGTCTCTGGGTCTCGCGGCGTCGCAGCGTCACTTGGCTTGGCATAGCTGCGTCGTTGGGCTCGTTTCGTTGCGTCTGGCTGCCCCTTCGTTCTTCGGCGCAACTAAATCGCTGTCCTCTCGCGTTTTCGGCGCCAAATTGTTAGAACTCTACCTGCGAGGTAGGCACCTGACACCATCGTTGTTGGCACAAAAGTAAGAAGTGATCATGTATACTTACATGGTGCTGCCAACTCTTTTTCGAGTAGCTGACAGCTGAAAATATTTCTGTGTGGCACAAAAGAATATGAAGTTCGGAGTTTCTTCAGGCGGTTCAGGTGACCACGACGGCGCTTCCCTCAATCTCGGTAATAATAGGCGACGTTTCTGAGCCGGAAACCATGAGGTCTTGTTGTGCGAGGTTAATCAGTGCATAATTATTTTGTTTTACCAATAAAACATACATAATGAAAATATGAAACGAAGAAAACAGAATATTTTTTTTCGACAGCTATGTTCGGCTACATGTTGTCGTCTGCTTTGTACTCGATAGCTGTTACCACGTCCGCTTTCTAGTCTGCAGCTTTCATCCGTGCAGTTTTAGGGTGCAAGTCATCTTCGCGGTCCGCTTGGCTCCCAACGAACGAGTGAAGGTTTCTTTCTGGTACGGAGAGTTCTGGTTAACGAAAGAGATCCGCCGTTTTCGAGAAAAGTTTCGGCGGCGACCACCGGCTCCCTAAAAATTATACGCTGAAGAGGCACCTCAAGGAGGAGACAAATCTTCGAAACAAGCCACCGACAACAATGGTGGCATCAACAAAGTTGACGCTTAAAAATGAGGTACTTTGTGTCTTGTCTCCCAACCCCCCCCGGTTGACGCGGAGAACACTGCCGGTACATATCGGCTGTTGCACCAATCGAACCACTTTGATTAGAACACGGCCAATGTAGGACGGGATTTCAAGTTTTTCATTTTTATATTTTAGACAGGTAAGTTTTGTCAGTGAAAGTTCGATGCCCTTAATGCAGGTTTTTCTTCCACCTCTATGTAATAGCCCAGATCGATATGTGTTCAGAAACTGATTAATGCCGTCTTTTTGAACAATTATCGATCCCCTTAAATCACCTTGTAGTTATACGCAAGTCGGAGGTGCTCCAGGGCTACACAATAGAAAGCGCAAGTGCCCTTGTGTGTCCTCTCGTCCTAATCTAGCGACCACGAGCGGGCGTAACGTGCTCGGTGACACTCACGTAAATATTTGAAGCAGCCTAAAATCTCAGATATACTCATTATTGCCATGACCGATTCCCTCTACAATTGTTATCTCTCCTCACCTTAATTAATCAAATCAATTGAACCACTTCAGAGCCGAGGAGGATTTCATCCTGAACGGATTCCTGATCCCCAAGGGAACCATCGTCATAGCCAATCTATGGGCCGCTCACATGGATCCCAAGTACTGGAAGAATCCCGAAAAATTCGACCCCTCCCGGTTTTTGACTCAAGATGGTTCCGCACTACTTCCAAAACCAGAATGCCTCATCCCCTTTTCAGCCGGTGCGTACAACATGCATGGTGAACCCATAGGGGCCAGCACATTTTGCACTCCATAAGACTTTGAATTCTTATCGTACATACCTTATACTGAGCAGACGAACGCTGCTTTAAAAATTTTTTATATCTATTTTCTTAAAGATAAATTCTTAGGTGGTGAAATATTAAAAATAGTGCAAAGACTGCAGCCGTGCATTCTTTATGTCTTATACCTGATGTTCCTCGTCTGCTTACTGGTTTGCAAGCTTGATCCCAGGTGGCCATTGTTGATACATTTTGTTAAACTTATTACTTATCGTGACTAATTTACTCGTCGCCAGCATATACTACAAGAGCTTAGCGGTTTTTTTTTTAGATTTAGGAAGCCACCCGGGAGCGAGATCGCAAGCCAGTGAGTGGACAACGAAGAGGCTGGTATGGAACAAAAAATACACGGCCGCCATTTCTGTGCTAGTTTTAATATTTTACCACCTACGAATTGAGCTAAAAGAGCACCTATTAATTGACCCCGAAATTGCAGCTGACAAAACAAACGTTCAAAAGTCTCATACACTCAAAAGTCCCAAATACATGAAAGATTGCGCGAAACGACGTTAGCGTGTCCGGTTTCGTATAGATACGTTTGGAATTCAAATTTAGCAAGGCGTCCCAAATGTGCTGATCCTTACGGCCTCACCTTCTGTATATACCACACTAACCATGACCAGCTCGCTTGTGCCTTAAGATTACTGTTATTTATGCATAGAATACACTGCTTGTAGAAATAATACATAAATATAATCAATGCCGTGCTTAGATATATGCTTGCTGCAAAATACATTTGATCCTTTATACTACGCAGACTTGTACACGTTACTGAAAAATAGTAATGAATTACATTTACAATTACTCAAGGCTAAATTGTAATTTATTACAATTACAATTACCCTCCTATGAAAGTAACTGACCGTTACCCCAAAAAGTAATCCGTTACTTTCGTGGCGTTACTTTTAACATTATTGTCCTCAAGTAAAAAACAAAGGGAAGAGGGTTATTCAAGTTCTTATTGTCGCAACGTGTTCCATTTAATGACCTTGAGCATTTTGAGCCACAGGTGGCCTTCGAAAGTCTCGTCAAGCATTTTGCGTTATTTCTTACTCAATATGTCGACTGCTACGCTGAACACCATTTGAGGTGAGGCACTGGATGGTAGTGCCATATTGTTCCTCACGAATGCTTCATGCTCTGTATTGAACTTTTTCAGCGAAGCAAGGGAAGTAATATTTACCTCGAATGTAGAGCAAAGCTTCGTCGTTGCAGCCTATGCCTGCTATTCGAGAGACTTAGTAGATCCTTCCGATACCTCCAAAACCCGCGATAACGATATGATGCATACGCAAAGACGGCGGCGAATTATCGGATATCGTTATCGGAGTCATCGGACCGATCTAAATTCTCCATTGTCTAAATCGCGAAGCTGTGGAAGTCATCAATAGCAAAACATAGTTGTAACAGTAAGGTGATAATTAAATAATAAATGATGTTTGGCTCGATATTCTTCTCCTTTGGTTCTGAACAGCTCGAGCCTCACTTGAGACGTTGGTGAACAAAAGAAAGTTTCCAGTATATAAATAGAAGTAATAAAAGAAAAATGACACTCATAACAACAATTAATTAGATTGTCGGTTAAAACAATGAAATGTGAACGCACGTTTGCCGTGTGTACCTTTCTTGGTGCAGTTCAAAAACGCACGGAGTACGAACCGACTGCAGTTTACTCCGGTGTCCTCCAGATAGACGTCCGCTGATGCCAAGGGCGGCAAAGGGGAGAAGTAAGCCGCGCTATGGCCCCACTCACGAATTTCACTCTCCCCTCAAGCCCAGAATATCAAGTCTACGTCAGCCATCATTATTTCTTATTTGTAAAAAATATCTGCTAGAGATTAGATGGGCCCTGCTGGGGCAAAACAGGAAGAAGGGATGACTATTACCATTTTCTAAGTGCTCGCAAAAAGCTGACTCACAAAAAGGGTAGGGTAGACGGAGCGTTGTCTCGTGTTGTGACATTATGAAAATGGTCGTAGAAGAACATTGTTAATTCTTTTCAGTGCATTTACCGCCTCGAGCTTCTCGAAGAGGCGCACAATCACTTGGTGTCCTCCTCTCCCCGTCTTCGATCCCAAAGAAAAAACAGAGGGACTAAAAAAAAAGCGGAAATCACTCGCCCCCTCCACCCTCCCTCCCCCGTCTTTTTTTTTTTTTTTCTAGAAATGTTTATTTGGATTTTTTTACATTATTGTTAGGGTCTAAAAAATAGGTTCAAAGGCTTGGTGTTGCAAAAAAAAAAAAAAAAGGCTTTGCGGAACTGAAGTGCCAATCCTCCCTTTGTGCTGGTCAATTCGCGTGATAGTGTCACTGCGCTCGACTTTACAAAAATGAAAAAAAAAAAAGACTTTATTTAGAAGGGGAGGGGGGGGGGGGGTTGGTTCTGACAAAAAAAATGTAACGGATTACAAGGAATCCGTTACGTCAAAAATCTAAGGGAATTACTTTAAAATTACTCTAGAAAATATGTAATTATTCCGTTACTAAATTACTGATAAATGTAAGGAATTACAAGTAATTTCGTTACTTGTAACGGATTACGTACAACTCTGATACTACGCATATCGAGAACTTTATCTTGCCGAAAATAGGTTTGGGTTCAAGGAAACAAATGTCAACCATATCTTTTTTTACAAAAATATTAGTGAATGTAAAAGATAATTCAATGAAAAAAGACCATGTTACGACATTTTCCGTCAGAATTAATAACGTTTTTTTTTTTCCTTTAAAAATTTGCTTCCATAACTTTTTCTTACAATACGGTCAGAGAGTGTTGTCTTGATATTAATAATGGCACTTTGGAGAGCATAGTTCCAGCATTTCAGAATAATGTTGTTGTTTTGCTTCAAGAATGCCGTTCCTACCAAACGGCTCGCTTAGTTGGAAACACTCTCGGTAGACCAGTATTCGCGACCCCAGCGACCTATTATGGTCGAGACTTTTCTATAATTATTCCGGCCTAAAACAGGTCGTGGCGTGTCATGTGCTAGCTCTAAACACAACGATTTGGTCTAAGAAGATAAACATTGGCTTCAAAATGATTTGCCCCGGTTTTTATTCACTACGTTCGAAACCTGCTGCGATGTGTTGGCGCAAGCGATCTTCTTTATACCTAGCCTCCTTCGGGATAGCGATGAAAGGAGATCGTACTGTCATTCTAACGTGTAAACTAACGTTGATAAAGTCACAATGTCTGGTTCACACGGTTGCCTAACTTGGGCTCAAGGCGAACTTAGCAACGCGCTGATACAAATGTAGAGATAGAGTCACTGGAAAAAGTGTTAGCCCTACACAGGGTAAAGGCAATGCAAGGAGCATTCAAAGGGGTGCTTCGGCGATTTCTTTATGGTCCCCGATTTTCCTAAGAAAATTGCTAAGCTCACCAACGAACACCGCTGAAATAGCATCCCAAATATTAAGTCAAAATATTAGTATTTTGCGAAGTTATTGAATCTACAATTTTAGTCCTCACAACTATTTTTTATACTGCGAGTCTCTACGTCCAAAAAAAAAAAAGTGACGCCATTGGAAAAGATTAGTTCGCTTTTTGGACCGCAGATTTTGTTCCCAACTGATTACAAGCAGCTTAACGGCCAGAAATGAATGTTTTGAAAGTTCGCTTTTGTACCTGCCCACCAGCACGAAACAAATACTCGGCACAGTCTATATTTGAAACTGCTTGCTCGACTGGCCAGCCTGACTTTCACTGACGTCCCGGCACTGAAAAGTGCTGGTATATTTCAATGATGGCTTTTGCAGCATTTTCATTTGCCGATTTCACAATGACTGTTTTGAATTTCGCGAGATTAATTGACATACCCGAATGGCTAAACACCGATATTAGAAAAAAATAGAGTTAGTTGGGGTAGCTCATAAAATCGCCGCAGCACCCCTTTACCAGGTGATGCCATTAAACGCCTCTTTTTCCCTGTATTTCTCTCGCAGCCATTTACGCTGTTGTGGGAGTAACCAATGCCACTTCGCACGCTCAGTGGCCATCCATCCAAACGCCGAGAAAATTCAGCCACTGAAGCTACAAGAGACGAGAGAAACATCTACTTTTTTTGCGTTGAAGTTGCGTATTTAGAACCGGTCAAGTGCAAGCAACGGCAAACATGATGTCGGGCCTGTGCTCGCGCAAAGAGGTCACATGAAAAAGAACAGAGAGCTGTTCGGTGGAACTACAAAAATCAAAGAAATAATGAAAACTATTTGGGACAAGGAAAAATACTGGTGTGTGTATGTTTCTACAGTCGAAATTTAGTTCACCTTAGTGGGCGTGCGGTTTCTCAGCTGTAGATGAGAAATTGAGCCAGTGCGGCACAACCGCTATCTTAGGTCTTTAACGTGCACCACGCAGTAGTGATACACGACCGCACGCCGGTACGATGCTCATCCAGGACAAAACGGGCAGGGGTGGGGATGGAGCCCAGTATCCCTGGGTTTTGTCGCGCGAGCATTGGGTAAACGCTAGCCCACTCGGCCACAGATTCTCATTACAGACAAGGACAGATAGCACACTTCTTTCAACCAGCAACGAACAGTTACTGATGTCTCCTTCAATCCGTAAATTCTTCCTCTCAACTTCTTAACGGAAGAAGATTTAAAGAAAAGAAGATAAGTGAAGAAAAAACAGGAAGATAAAAAAAAAAAAGAAAAAAGGAAAAAAAATTTATTTCTGTCTTCAGAGAGGATACCATTGACAAATTCAGATCTGGCTTCATGTAGTTGATCTCAACTTTAAACAACCCAAGAGAATGATGTGGCGAACATTTGGCTTTGCCTCCACTTGCCCGGTGCCGAAGCCCATATTACCCGCCGGTGTGAACACTTGTTAACTTCATCATCCTCTCCAGTGCCGTAGCCGACATTCCCCGCCAATCTGGGACCCTTTGAACCCCGGCACATAAACAGCGCCGAGTACGGTATGCACCGCTTGCTCAGCGGTGAACATTCTTTGAGGTTCACGTTACACTACCGATCCGGGATTTCTCGCCAGACAGGCGCCGTTCCGTTGGTTCGTTCCCGTGGCCTTACATGTGCATGAGATTCTCGATTTTTAGCATAAGAGGGCAGAACACAAAAGTCTTCATTTGAAAGTCTTCATCTTACCGTGTTCACTTAAAGTCTTTGGTAGAGGAGTCATCTTGGGGAGGAGCGGTTCAGCCGCACACGTCACCGGAGTAGAACGGGACATGGGGTGACCGAATGTGAGTCAGTAAACTGTTTCATTGAACCTGTTGTGTCGCGTGACTACCTTGGGAACGACTAAAGCGTGGCTTAATCGAATCGGGCGTAGTATAGATGTTTTCTGCTTCCTGTCGTTCTCAGTCACGTGCGTTTCATATCTGGTACGCAAGACGACACAATAATAAAATATTTCAACCTGGAATATGCGAGCAAATATAGTGAAGGCAAAACAAGTATGTGTGACATTCACGAATTTTTTTTAAACACCTTCCAGCAGCGTGGAGAGATAAAAACTATGTTTTACCGTATACCAGAAGTGACTAGTCAAGATAGCTGCACCCTTGAGGGAAAGGTGCACAAGTTGGAAAGATCCCACAATGAGGAGCGATGTTGTTTCCGTCACCAAATACTATGCAGGCTTCAATAATCTCTCAGCCGAGCTCGATCTTCTGCTTCTCAATTATGCTGCTGTCTCGGAAATGAGTTTCAGAGTTTGTGCAAAGGCGTTTATGCACCACAATCGGATGAAATGATTCGCTTGGAGCACGGGAAACATCGCAGATGGGCTCTCTGAAGCGGGTGTTTACGCGACGCCTTGCCTGGCAAATGCATCGGTCACCGCATGAAAAAGGCATCGAGTATACCACCCGCTCTTCACAGGGAACAGTCGGATTAGAATGTTTTACTGCACAATCTTTGGGGGCGTCATCGTTGTTAAATATTGTGCAAAGTTGTTTTATGCGCAACTTGTGCGAGAAAAGAACCGAAGTGTTGAAGCGCGCTGCTATTCCCTCGAGTCTGTGTGCAGAGTTGTGCACTTATGGTAACGTAATAACATGTGAAGCTTTACTTCGGCGAACACGGGGCGTTTGGGGAGCTTAAATTAGCTGAACAAGTATGGTACCCAGTAGATGTTCCGGACATTCAGTTTTAACAAGGCATTTTTTTTTGTTTTGTCATACTTACGCCAACCAAGTGAAAACAAGATTCGGCGCGAGAATTTGGAAAGGAAACCAAATAATTTCATGTTTGGCCAGTTTAAAATGGGAACTGCAAAATGGAAGAACTGGTTTTTCCGATCGTTGTTGGAAGGTCCAACAAAATGCCGGAGAGAAAGGGAAAGAACTGTGCTGGATATCCTTGTCCCTAAATTTGTTATTCTTCCTTTTATTCTTGAAGACACGGGCTCGCTCTCTTTCATTATGTTACTATTTTAGATACTGACCAAAACGTAAATTAGGAATAAACCTCTTGAATTTTTGTGAAGTATCTGCTATAGCAGGTCTTCAATTAAACAGTTTGTTTTTAGTTGAATTCATCTAAGGATGCACTGAGTTCACTGAGCTGCCTGATCTTCTCGTGTCGTGTCCCGGACCTTGATTCCTGGGTTTCGGCACCAAATTGGTGAATTGAAGACCAGGGACAGCACTAGCTTCACAAAGACTCAAGGAACGTATTCTCAACTTCCGTTGAGAATACGCCCCTTGAGTCGACAGCCGCAGCTTCACCGACTGAACCTATCACGCGCACTGAGTGCGTTTTAATTCTGCTTTTTCTTTGCCAGTGATTGGTTTAGTCGGTGGTAGCAAACACACAAAGACGAGGAGTGCCCGGACGATGCAGTTTTAGCGCTGATGGATTGGCTCCATTAGTATGAAAGTTATAGATGTATGCCTTTCTGTACTGCCCCCCCCCCCCCCTTTTTTTATGTAATTTCCTAATAGTGCCATCAAGGGTCAATAAATGAAATGAAATAAAATGAAGAGCCTAAAAGAAAAGACAGATTTATTCATAAATATCTGGAATGAGATATGGATTGCTAGTTTAGTAATTCAGCTTACGATTTAATAGTATCGTTTAGTGTGTTATAAGACTAATGTGTGTTTGTGTTTTTTTCTCTCCTATATTCCCTGTCAGGAAAGCGGATGTGTCCCGGGGAGTTTGTGGCCACCGCCCAAATATTTCTTTGCATCACCACACTGCTCCAGGAATTCCGCGTCGAGTCCGGGGACGGGTCAAGCTTCTGCGTAGCCTCGAACAATTTTCCAGTTCTTTTGTCGAAGGGACTGTGCTTCCAGTCCCGCATTTCGGAGTGACCACTGAAAAAAAAAAAAAAAAAAGATACTATAAAAAAAAATCTATAACTTCCGAACAAGTTGTAAAATCGAACTGTCTTTATAATCATCAGTGGACACGTAACCATGAGTAATTAAGCACCGTTTTTTTTTAGAAAATATTAGTCTTAGATATAACGCCGGGTGTTTAAATCGAACATCAGTCAAAAGCTTTGTGTGAAACATAAGCATCTCAAAAATTAAAAGAGATTCTGTAGCGGCCACCATCAAGAGGCCTATTTGTGAGGTATATAGCGTTTAAAATGAATACTTTTATTTAAAATAAGATGCTCACAAAAAGAAATATTTAGTTAAAATTAAATTATGATTTCAATGGAAAACGTATATGCGCATACACTTACAACACAACTAAACAAGTCCATTTTAGAACCATTCGGAGAGTGTGCTTCATTCTCCCGGGTCTCGAAAATGCGTCAAACTGCTGCGACCCCGCGAGGGTTTTTGCGCTTTTTATAGTCCGTATTTTCACTCGTGTTGTACCGGAAGAACAAGCGGCAAAGTTTACGCACTACCGCGGCTTTCTAAAATATACTGATTTAGTGTTTTTCTATGAAGCTCAGCACGTTTTCTAATTGAAGCAATTATACCCCTAATGACAAAGTTAAGCTCGCAAAACTAATTATTCACTTAATTGTTCGAAGCACTATGCACTTCCATGAATTTTCCACTGGTCAGGGACGTCGATAATACCTACTCTTTTCCTCCTTGATGAGTGTTTTTTTTTATATAACGTTTTGGACCCGGTTTATTCCAGTTCGGGTGGAAACTAAGGGTGAGAAGGAGACGAGCGCGCGCGTGAATGCGAGAGCGCACACCACTGGTAGAATGATTTATGAGTAGACGCAAAGTTTTCGTCTCTACTCAGTGTTGGAACGCGGTCGGACGAAAACTCTAAACGCTGGACGCTGCCGTTTGGCTTTCGAGGGCGTTCGATGAGTGAGCAGAGACATCGTCTCCTATATACTGACAAAGCCTGGAAGATCGCCACGAGAAGCGGCCACCGAAATGGAAAACGTGGAGCAGCAGACAACGGATAAGAGGAAAGCCATGTGACTGGCGCCCCGATGCGGCGAGACGCCGAAACGCACTTCTCCCGAGTGAGAAAATGTGTTTCGGGTCCTCGCTGCCGCAAAAGCTGTGCGCTGACGTCCAGGTTCCCCGAGAAATGGCTCTTTGATGGTCTGTGCTACCAGATCCTCGCGCTCCAAATCTGCGACCGGGCACTCTGGATTCGTCGTCGACCTGCCAGGCTTTGTGAGTATAGAAAAAGCTATGACAGAGGCAAAGGCAGCTAGCTTAGCGTCTAATCACTAATCAATCCGTTTAGAGCTTGGCGGTCTATAACCCTCGCGCGTTCTCGTGTACTACGGCCTCCGCTAGTTTCCTCTCGCATTAAAAACTTTTCAATGCTCGTTCAGCGCCGGAATGAAACACTATGAAGTGAGATCACCCCTTGCTTGCCTATTATTGTTACTTTAGGGGTAATCGTTTGTTATCTTTTGTTTTTAATTTTTAGTGCAAGCTGAGAGCCAAGTAATCTGTTCGCTGCGCGACACCGTTAGCACGAACACGACCCCGGCGCTTTTCTTAATTTCACTCCAAGTATTGATAAGCACCACTTTTTCACCGCTTAGGGCACTTCCCTGCATATGGTCTTTCCGCCACCCTGATAGACATTTTTATGGCAGCCTTTCGTTTTTAAGATATGAAGAGTAAAAACTGCCAGTAGCACATTCTTCCTAAGAGTCGCATTGAGCACATACCTTTTTTGAGTCTTTAAAGTGATAAAGTTGAAAATGAAATGCATTCAGAAACTATAAATCGTGAAAACAAGGCTACGTGTATAAATGTCAGTGAGGAGTAGCAGAATTTTTTAGAGGTCTTGACGAGTCCTTCAGGAATATCTGAGACATCTGAGAGGTCCGTTGTATTGTTCCTCCGTGTCCTATGTGTCTTTTTCGCCCCTCTCTCTTCCTTTTCTCGCTTTTTAATATTTTTTTTAAGTCCGAGTTTTTTGAGAGATCTGAGATGTCCTGTCGAGATTTTTTCCCGAAGAGCACGTGACCCTTCAAGGTAGTTCCAATACGTTTGTGCGGGTCAGCACGCGTCCCTGCAGGACTTACGCATCGGGGAAGACGCTCAGACATTTTATATCGGGCGGCCGTACGGAACGGTCGCTCAGTGTCCCACGTTTGCAATCAATCTCCCTCACCAACTCCAGTAGCCAAGTATGCCCCAACGTGAGCATGTCACCCGGCGCCAAGTCTCTTATGTCTCTTTGTACCCTCGGCATCAGAAACTCGTCCTGCAACAGTAACAACGCTGTGGAAGCCACCGCAGTGACACCAGGGACGCCACGGTGAAATTCCTCAGGTTTCAGTTAGCGGCGGAGGACATTGGTTTCGTGCTCGTGGTTTTGCTGCTGACGCTTGAGTGGGTTTGTGTGAGTGGCACAACCGCTTGGTTTTGAGAAATGAACTGCAATGTATTTCAAGGATTTATCCAGCGGCGTTCTATCTTGCAAGATAGTTTGCAACGACAAAGTGTGGTCTAATCGATTTTGTCTACTGCGTAACTTGCGCCCGGGTTCGATACACTTTGGGTTTATTGTCTTCTCTTTTCTACATGCATGTAATGCTTTATGTGTAAAATAAATTTTCATTGACGTTCAAAACAACTGTGTTTTCGGACGATGGTTCACAGCAATTGGGTCAGTCATGCTACTTTTCATTAACATTCCTGCAAAAATGTTATTGAATTTAAAAAGAAGCTCCGGCTGTTATTGGAGCTACCAAAACAAAACACATTTGGGAATACCCAGGTTTACTCTTTCCGACATATACCTAAATTCAAAGTAGCTATAGGAAAAATGACAAATGAATGTGATGCCAAAACCAACATTCAAATTTGTTGCCGCTCTCCAGTTGGCTAACAACATATGTTGTACGTCCTGGAATTCGAACAGGCAGCTTGAAAATCACAGTAATACGCGCGTTTGTTTTCGCTCTGCTTGTGTAAGTTTTTCTAGCCTTCATTTCACACCCATCAAACTCCTTGCAACTTGTCGGGAACAAGCTGTACTGGCCCAATATAAGCCTACATCTTTTGACGTCACGTATTCAGTGATGACAGAAGAACCTCTGAGGCTCTCAAACCAAACTGGAAACTTCATTAATTCCGCGAAAAACATAATATTACTTGTTCTTTGGGTTATTAGTTCAATGTGTTTTTAATGTGTTGAATTAATGTTGAGGCAAATTAGTAACTATCAAAATTTCGCCGGTGCTACCCAGAAAATAAATCATGAGCCACTCCACTATATGGAGGGGGATGACCAGCGAAGCTGTTTAGCACACGACACAGACCTGCCCCGACGGGCTGGAGGACATTAGACACGCGCAACTGGACCGCCACCCGGCGGAAAGTTGACACGCGCGACGGGAGCGCCACCCCGCGATAGCGGAAGGAAATGAATCTAAGCACGCAAGCGCTTGGAATGGCGACAAAGAGAGGGCGGTGCTTGCGTAGACTTGACCGACGCGCGTCGCACAGCGGCAAATCGTTGAAAAACCTTGAGTATCTACCTGAGAGTCTACTGATCTTGAAAATGGTGCTTATTGATAACTAATATACTGAATAGATATACTGCTAAATTGGCCAAGCATAAAGACGAATGCAGGGGATGGTGTTCCACGCGCCACACGTGCCGGCGTCTGCAGCAGTAACTGTTCTGAATCAAAAGCCGAAAACAAATGACATCTTGCACGAGATGCCATTTGTTTTCGGCCTTATGCCTCATTTTGATTATTTCCTTCAAATCTTTTATACGAGGAAGGCGTGCGCGTGCGGCGCGTGCGGCGCGTGCGGCGGTACGAGAGTAGAGTATTTGGTTACTTTCATTGCCTCCTGCCTACTGACAAAACCTGGTACATCGCCACGAGAAGCGGCCAACGAAATGGAAAAGGTAAAGCGGCTGACAACGGATGAGAGGGGAGCGACGGGACGCGCGCCTTGCTGCGCCGACACGCCGAAACACTTCTCCCGAGCGATGAAATGACCGAATGTCCGCTCGTGATCCTCACGTTCCTCGCTCTACCGCTTCTTTTCTCGTCGGGATGAAAGCCATGTTTCGTGTCCTCGCCGCTGTAGAAGCTGTGCGCTGACGTACAGGTTCTCCGAGAAATGCTCTATGCTACCATATCTTCGACCTCCAAATCTGCGACCGGGCACTCTATTGCTCCGTCGTCAAACTGCCAGGCTGTGTGAGTATAGAGAAGGCAATGTCACTGCACACGAAAAATTAACGGAACCCTAGCCGTAAACAGCGTCATTGTAATACATTATTTGGGCACAGAATAACAGGCACAATGGTCAATTTCAAAAGACTTGAAATCTGGCGGGGCAAAAAGGCAGATTCTTAAAGGGTTCAAGGGCTGAAAGGCTAAGGCAGTTTGAAAGACTGGGGGTCAGAATGGCTCAGATGGTTCGTAGCACATCATTTTTAAAGGGTGTCTTCATTAGACGACGGCACGATAAATATTTTACCGATTTGTCTACTCTGATGGAACTTAACCCGAGACTGGGGTAGAAAAAGAAACTTAAAAGTAGAAGGGACAGAGACAAGTGAAGAAGAGAACGTCTCAAACGCAGCTAAAAGATTTATTTAGTCCCATATCCTTATATACTCACAACCACAAGGTCACCCAAACACTCAACATGCCCCTTTCAAAAGCACAACACACCAGAAAAAAAAAACCCAAAGTCAACAATGCAAAGGGACGCTCCCTCAGGCAATACTAGGAACAGGGGCAAACCATCCACTTGTCCGGAAAGAAAAACTTTTCATTTTTCCTTTCCTTCTCTTTTGTCTCTGTGTGTCACTGACACTACACCCACGAACCAACTCTGTCTACTCTGTCTGTTTCGTTATTGCGCTTTTTTTATTAATAAGAATAAATGTT